AAAAAAACTAATAATGATCGAAAATTTCAAATGCCTATGAATAGTTCAACTTAAGTCGAAAWTTTTTGAAAATTGMAYGGTGGATAGAATATACTTATATAAACATTCGGTGGAAATGTCATGTATCTATGGTCATTTGTTTCAAAGTTACATCAAAAACCATAATCGATTTCGTCGTAAAATGAGTGTGCGTGAAATTTCCTTTAATTTTTAGTTTGTWATTTCCGATTATTTAGATATTTTTTACTTTTGACCCCCCCAAGGTACCAACTAGATTCACTTTATGATCGAAGGAGGTACTGAAGTCAAAAATTGAAGCACTTTTACTGCCCCAAAACGTGATGACAGACACACACAAAAAAAAAAATAAAAACAAACACACACATCATGGTAAAATCAATTCATTCATTGCTCCGCTCAGAATCTAAAATACAAAATTTATCGTTATCTTATTCCTTTGTACCTATTAGGTTAGATCAGTGGCGTATTTTGGTTGATTTCTCGGGGGGTGTCAACATTTATTGAACCTCAAAAACAAAATTTTTAGTATTATTTATACTAATGTAAAAATACATTGAATTAATTTTTTAACAAATTAATATGTTAGGAATTGACAAGAAGTTTTACATTTGATAAAAATAGTATAGGTACTATAAAATAAGTGACAACACTAATGTCCAATATATTAGGACTTTTTTTTAAATTTCGGGGGGTATCAAGACATGGAGGACATCCCCCCAAAATACGCCACTGGGTTAGATAGTTAGGCACCTTCAGAGTAAATGAAAATACATGATGCCTTATAAAAATATCCTTTAATATGTTGTTATAAAATATGGTAGGTGTATAAATTAAAGTATTTACATAAATCAACAATTTGTCGGAACAAATACAAATGTATTTATTATTCAGATTGGACTTCGGACTTCAACCACATTACAATTTACAACCATTAATTATTGTGTGTAAATGTATAAAAAAAACTATCATTTTTTTTCTTTCAATACCCGTTTCTTGTRTACTTTATTGCTGAACCTCCAGCCATTTAAACCGGTTAAACAGACTTTGCTCCAATGAACCTCAGATGTTTGGCTGCTATACGATTGCGCGTGGTCCTTATCAACAGTACCTTTTTAGGTGTACGATTGCGCATCCTAAATTATTTTTGTTTCTAAGCAACGTTGCCAAATATACAGATTATAGGTGCAAGGTAAATATCCGGTTAGGTTCCGATTGTGGTGATCTTTACGTTATTCATTACTTATTATTGCCGTTACCAGACAAACCTTCCATCACTAAGAAGCAGGAAATTATATTTTAGATCATATACTTTTATATTGGATCTTTTATCTTTATTGTAAATTCCCTCATCTAAAAAATAAAACACCAGAAAACTTATTTAAGTATTTAGCCATAGTTGGAAATAGGTATCAGGGCATTAAAATTAAAATTATTTTATTTATATGATTTTATTAAATCGATTTTTTTAATGAATATCTTTTTACTTATGAGGTAGACTGAGTGTGAATATAAAGTATCTGTTATTTGTTGTAACTATTTGTATTATTTGTAACTTTTTGTACTATTTTTGACTGATTAGTTGTCGTATAAAGCACGCTTATAATGTTATTAGAAATAAATACAATAACAACATTTACGACAAATAACAATTTTTTTTATAATAATAATTATTTTTAATTTTAATAATAAATTGGCAACGTCGCATCCAATTTCACGCACAATCGTACGTTTTTGTATAGTCAAAAGCATTTACTTGTTATTCCGGCACCCGGCATCGCGCGCAATCGTATGCCCAAAAAGGTTAAACACGCGCAATCGTACTCAACTGAGATGTTTATGGTTCACTCTTATAACTATATACCACAATAAACGTTTCAGATATGTTCAGATATGGTCAATTCAAACTTCGCTGTGGATAGACTATCGAAAACGACGATGTTTTTGCTCTTAGTGACTTTTGTTGTGCCATCTTTAGCTGCAGATATTTTATATCCAGTGGAAAGTGAAAGTCGTGAACTCCGTACTCTACATGGCCTGTGGAACTTTAAAATATCTCCACTGTCTGATCAATTGATTGGTTTTAATGAAAAATGGTATGCAAAGAGATTCGAAACAGTAAGTCAATGCAAAATTACTATAATTATACTATAAGGCATATTAATATATATTAATGTTATATTTATTTTCGAAGAAAAATACCCTATAGTCAACCCTATGGGTCACTATAACCCATTTGATTTACTTATTAAAATCATATTATCATAATGGTTTATAATTAAAATAAATCCTCAAGTTACTTCATATTGTTCTTTATGTTATTATTAATGAGCTATTAAAAATATAAAAACCTATTAATGAGATTTTTGAAATACACAAAAAAATTATATTGAAAGTATATTTTAGCTATTTTAAGTTCAATCTATCCAGAGTATCGAATTATTTTAGTACATAGTCTAATGAAGATTATGCTTTTACATTGAATAAATAGCATGGTATTCATTGTTTATGGCACTATAATAAGTAATACTCTTTTTTATTTTTGTAATTTTGTCTCTGATAATTACTTTTAAGTTTTGTTTAAAGATATTAAACTATATATAGTAATATACTAATATAGATAGTATTATGTATTATTATTATTATTATATATTTAGTTGAAGTTTAACTCTATAAAAATATAAAAATACCTATAAATTAAAATATTCGGAAGACTAGGTAATTAATTAGTTTTAATGTTTAAGTTAGTTAGAAATATTACTTATTGCCTATTAGATATTTTATAAAAATTACTCGTCAACATTTTAAATGTTATAGATACAAAAAGCGGGTAAGTCGTGGACGTCGCTCTTCTGTACAGTAGGTTATAAGTGGATTACTGTAATGGATGGAATTAAATTTGAATCYWATGATATTAAATCATTGTATACGAAAAATGATTCTGAGCGGAGACGGTTTATCTGTCTAGGATATATTATGTATTATATAGATTATTAAAAATTTTCAAATCTTAGATTTAAAAAGAAAAAATTCGCTCAAATGTTTTGAAAATTTTACCATATCCAGGTAAAGTTAATATAAGTAAACAACCTAAATTTTTAAGAATGTAAGAACCCTAAGTTTTTACGAATGCTTCGAATTACAACTAAAAACTCCCAAAATTAAAATGTCTATATAAATAGCTCAAAAATGGCTAAAATTTTGCGTAATTTAAACCACAAGGAAAAAATTCAAAATTCAAAAAAAAATCTCTTGTCATTTTTCATTTGAAGCAATATTTCTGGTAGAAAACGTTATCAGTAATTATTTAACATTATAAAATCGTGCAATCGTGCAATCGTTACGTTTTTCTCCTTTAACCGCTTTTATTTTGAGTACTGTTACGAAAATCGAAAAAATACCTCTCTAAAATACCAGCTCAAGAACATTACAAAAAAAGATGCTACACTTGATACTTTTGAGCAAGTTTAGWGGGAGAAAAAGTGTTTACAGAATAAAAAAGAAAAAGAAAATAAACATCATTATTGTAAAACTTACACATTCCTCGCTCCGCTCAGAATCTAAAATACTACAAATAATATTCTGCTTATGAATATGAAATAAATAATATTTATTGTAATGTTGTTTTTTAACAACTTAAAATTATGTAAAAAATATATTATAAAAATTATAATAAAAACTCTATTGTTTTTAAAATAATGATTAGGTAATGAGTGTTTTACGTTAAATGGATCACCCCGCATATAAAATGACTAATAACTAAGTTTTCTTATCATCAAAAACATTACCGGGGGAGGTGGTTTTAGAATTATACTGAGTCTACCCTGACCCGCCTTTGATTCGAATATAGCTGGTATATACACTGACATAAAAATATAAAATCTAACATGATAAAGTTTAAGAGAACATGGAAAATACTTTATAATGCTCCGTGCTTCGTAAATTAATATTTAAGTAGATACGACACTACCTATAAATATATAAAATAATAGTACCATACTTTTTAGCTTGGTGATTATTGGAAAATGCCCGTTCCATCGAGTTACAATGATGTTTCTACCAACTCTACCATAAGAGATTACGTCGGATGGTCGTGGTATCAATACGAGTTTTATGTACCAAAAAGATGGACTGATGATCAACTGAACGTATTTTTGCGGTTTGGCAGTGTGCATTTCAAGTCAATTGTGGTATCTTGATACCTAATTATATTATATGAAAATCAATAAGAATTTTAAAAATCTTATATTTAGCCCAAATATTTCAAACAACTTATATAATATTTATTAATAAATTCTCTTCAATAGGTATTTTTTACAATACACATAATATTATACATAGTAGCTGTATAAAGTATAATTGTATAATTCGATATCAATAAACGACGAAAAATTAACAATTAAGAAATACTACGGCATTAAATTGGCGTATCTCGGTTTTAGTGTACCTTCCTACCTCAGATCACGGGCAAGTCAGCATCGGTACATCGCTTTGTGAACTAATTAAACAGAGATTGGCAATCTGCCACTGTTGGATTGGATATAGCACTTATTAGTATATGTTTGACCATGATTCAAGCTATAGTCTAGACTTTTCAGATATTTTTAAGAAAAATACATAAACAAACATATAGAAATTAGTCAATGGCCACATTGTTATTACACGTATCATATTTGAAATCAAAAATATATTTGATTTTCATGAGAAAAACTAAATACATGTGTGAGCCACGGTATAGCAGTGTATATTGGTCGAAATACTCCCCTAATCTCAAAAAAATATGTCTGAACAGTTTGGTGCCAATTAGTTTAGTATAGTTTTCAAATCTTATCCAAACGTAGTAAACGTACATTAATTTTAGATTTTCAGCGTAGTGATGAATGTATTGATTTTATAAGGATTGTTATTTTTTCTGTCTTTATACACAATATTATATATAAAAGAAAACAATTCTTCGATTTTCAACATTGATATCGTTTTTGTGTGAATCTATAATTATTACTTTTAAGGGCGGTGGTAAACTCTCCCGATTTTATGGTGAACTCTCCCGATTTTTTAAAATAGTAAACTCTCCCGATGGTAAACTCTTCCGGGTTATTATTATGTTTACCTGAAGTAAATGTGTAAACTCTCCCTGGTCAAAATTATGTTTACCTAAAGTAAATGTATACAGATTCCCTAACTTTTTTAAAATCTGTATGTTCTTATTATCAAAAATAATAATTTTAACATTTTTTCGTATATTATTTTGTTTTTGTAACTTATATCATTATTATTATTATTATTGACTATTTTTAAAAGAAACTTAAATGTATATTAGATATTTTTTCTAATTTCTTATTTTGGTGTAATCTAAAAATTGAATGATCGGATTTGAATTTTTAACCAAGTATTTATATTCGCATTTTATAATAATACATTTTTACTTTTATGATACAACTTTCGAAATATTTCTACTCTTTTTAATCTTTTTATATACACTGGCATTTTTAAACTATTAATATATTTATATAAATTATATAGGTAAGGTCCAGGGTCCTAGTAATAGGAAATAGCTTAGAACTGGAATCTAAATATTTTGGAAATTGCATTACGTATACATTTTCGTATACATATTATTATATTATTTTACAATATATAGTAAAATCTTATGACTTACAAACAATTTCAATTCTCCATAAATATTTTTGGCCTACAAAAAAAAAAAAAAAATTAAAATCATAGTTCTATGTTCAAAAATCCCAATTTTTTCTTTGAACTTTAAACTGCAATAAAACAATTTTTGGTGTGCGATGCGCCCCTACTTATTTTTACCACGATTTAAATTTAAATTTATACTTATTAATAATATTATATGGCTAAAATTAAATGTATGATTACAGTGGTTAAATGGTCAATTGTGTGTGGAGCACGAAGGTGGCCATTTACCATTTATTGGTAACGCTACTAGTTTTCTTAAATATGGTGAACTTAATTTAATTGTCGTTGCCGTTAATAATACTCTGCGACCGGACACTATACCACAAGGATATACGCAATTTCCGAATAACACATACAAGTAAAAACTAACAAAATATTATCTAAATAGAAAACTAGAAAATTTAATAATTAGTTAGATTTGATAACAATAATTTTAGATTATACAAAATTACGAATAATATTTACAGGTATCCAAAAGATTATAGAATATACTCTCATGAGTTTGACTACTTTGATTATTCCGGTATTAATAGAGCTGTTTATTTATATACGACGCCAAAAGTTTACGTTTGTGACATTACCGTATTAACAAGTTTTGGAAATAATTCAGAAGGTAATTGGTACTGGCTATCGGATAATGTACATACATATATTATGAACGTTAAAAACCATAATAATTGTGTCATAATTAACTAACTAAAATATATTAATTATTTAGTTAATTTTAATTTTAAGAAATACTAGTAAAATATTTCAAATTGAATATCTATTATATATTTAATAAGTCATTGATAACTTTTACTCTCATCAACATTTATGTTTGTGTAGTCTACATATATTATTATAGATTAATAAACCTATCTTTAAAAGTGCAAACAATTAATTTTAACTTTTGTAGGAGTCGTCGATTACAAAGTCGATATTTGTGGGAATAGTGTTTCTGAATGTAATATTACACTTTTGGATGCTAATCGAAGTATAGTAGTTGAATCGAATACATGTTCTGGACAGTTAATAATACCAAATGTAATCCCTTGGTGGCCAAATATGTCTGGAAAAAAACACATAGCATACTTATATACTTTTCAGGTATTATATTATTAAATATAATTTATGTAATACTTATGATATGCTTAAATGACTAAATACTATTTCCATAAACTTAACTAGTAATCAGTAAATCAATGGCGTCTTTTAGGTGAAGACCAACCATGAAAATGGTGATTATTATCGTATGAAAATTGGTGTTCGAACACTTCAATGGACATCAAAAGAATTATTGCTAAATAACGAACCAATGTACTTAAGAGGATTTGGAAAACACGAAGATTCTATAGTTAGTTATTATTTTTTTATGAATACAAATATTTTCTAATCAACTTGGATCATTTTAAGCGGCAGACTTTAAAAAAATCAATAAGCACATTGTAACTTACCTTATATTATAATTTAACAATATTGATGAAGGACCACAATTTTCCATTTAAAACGACATAATGAGTTATGATTTAAAAACTTAATTTTTATTTTAAACTAACATTTTTTTTTTTATTATTTCAAGTTAGTAATAAAATTAAGACTGTTAAAAAATTTAAAACAATCTGTAGGTACCTTGCTTACGTAGAAAAAATGCGAAGGTTGGAAAATACTCGGAGGCTAAAATCGAAAAAAAAAACAAATAGTTAACAATTATGAATTGTATTATACTAACATAATTTCATGTTAATATTTAGGTAAAAAGAAAATTAAATACCGTAGTCTTATAGAATATGTAAACATATTATATACAGAAACTTCATCGATGATTCGATTTTAATAAAGGATACAATTAATAGAACCTTAAATAGGTATTATTTACATTTAAGATTTATTTTAAGTACAGGTCCTATACTCCTATGATTCTTTTATAACAATATAAATTATAAATTATAATAACCACCTCAAGACTTATTTAATTTTACGATTATAGTTATACTAATATTTACTTATATATAGATACGAGGAAGAGGTTATGATGATGCATTAAGTGCCAGAGACTTTTATTTAATAAAATGGTTAGGTGCTAATTCTTTTCGTACATCACATTACCCTTACGCAGAAGAAACATTACAGCAAGCCGATTCAGAAGGTATATTGGTAATTGTGGAAAGTGCTGCATGCAACTTAAGGTACCAATGCATTTTTATAGTACCTATATTTACCTATTATAAATTAATCAGTGGAAACACAAATATCTACCCATTGCTAATCTCTACCTAAATATAAAATAAAATAATTAATTAATTGGTAGATTGATAGGAAACGAGGTTGATCGAATACAAATTATCCGTTATTTATTATATCATGGGTGAATTCACACGAAGGGCGTATTCTGTTTGAATAATACACATATTATTATTACCATACTCATACATATGTCATCATTAAATTACTATATTATACCATTTATGATTAATTATAGGGCTATTTTTGAAATGTGTACCTATGTCACTCCCTACTAATAACATTCAAAATACCCATTTTTTCGTGCCCCCACTAACTTCTCTCTTAATTTGAAAATTTCAATTTTTTTGTCAGCCAAATTATTATATTGTAAAATTGGTTGAATAAAATATTGGCACTATAATCTTAATGATCTAATTGATGACCCTTGAATTATATTATAAATATCCTACCGATAAACTTGACTCAGAAATTTTTTTAACAGTTAGAAAGTACAAATTTGAGGCATTCAAGCTTATGATTATACATGAGATTAAGAGATAGAGAACAATAATGTGTTGAATAACATTAACGTTGAATCCATTATTTATTAATTAACAATAAAATTGATTTATATGTTGGTTAAAATATTTTTTAAAAGAAATAATGAGTTAACGCATGTCCTAAAGACTACCAAAAGATGGTTGTATTAAAATTATATACCATAAAGCTATAGAAGCTGCACTAAAGTTTTATTTTTTGGGCCGGTAAAATTAAAGTTTTCCCAATCAAAATGTTCTTCATAATCCAAAATTGTAATAGACACAATTGAAAATGAACATTCTTAACGGACGGAGTTATAAAATAAATGTGAATTTTAAGCTTTACTATACACTTTAAAAATAATGTTTGGTGCCATTGAAAATTAATAATTGTCTAATTTTAAAAAATTTTAAAGAATATTTGGACCAGATGTATTAAGATTCCATAAAGGTGTAATGACGGAAAACGTGAATCGTGACAAAAATCATCCTAGTGTTATTATGTGGTCATTGGCTAACGAACCGTATAACAATGTAGAATTATCTGTACCATATTTCCAGTGAGTTTCGAATTGTATTTAATGAATTGAAATTAAGTTCATATTGCATTGTGTATATTTTTAATTTATTTTAAAAATCTTTGCATGTAGGTTATAATATTGCATAATTATGTGCTATTATACTTTTGCAAACAAATGTTTTGTCTTATGAATTTTTAAAAATGTTTTTGGTTTGTTTGATTTTGAAAGAGAACTTTACCAACACGTACGAAAAATCGATCCATCAAGACCAATAACTTTTGTCAATAGCCAACAAATTCAAAATGCTAAAGCGGTAAAAATTATACTTAAAATTAAATAAGATATAAATCATAATCATTTGTGCATAAATCATATATGAACTTGCTAATATCCTAGTAGTTTTAATAATTTAAATGTATAAATAACTACATACCTAGTTTTAAAAAAAAATGTAATACATATTATTTTAAAACGTTGCATAATACGTTGTTAACACTTCCTAGTTTCATAAATTTAGTTATATCTATTAAAAATACTTTAATAGACTTTTGAAAATTATAGATTGAATATATGGATGTTCTAACATTAAACCGATACAGTAGCTGGTATAGTGATTCAGGTCATTTAGAGCTTATTCAATATCAAATATACAATGAACTTGAAGCTTTTACAAGAAAATACAAGAAACCTATACTATTAACTGAGTATGGTGCTGGAGCACTTTCTGGGTTACATTCGGTATGGATTCTTTATATTCATCTTCTAAAATACTAGTTTTAAATAAAAAAATATAATATAGTAATAAATTTTGGTGTATCGCCCTCTATATTATGCTATAATATAAAATTAATAATATTATTTTTTAATTATTGCCCTCTATTTCTAAATATATTTTATAAATGTTTATTTATTTATTTTTATTTAAATGTTTGTTTAATCAATTTTGTCAAAATTTGAAAGCTTAGGAATAAAAATAATTTATTGTCTCTATAAATGTTCAATATTTTTTTATCGTCTTAACGTTTTAACAGTATTTTATGGTAAAACTGTTATTACAATTTCATATTTTTGTGACAATACAAAAATTTAAATTATGTACTAAAAACAAAAAAAATTCAAATSGATAAAAATAGTTGAATTGTAAATCAAAAATAAATAGTTAAAAACAATTTATGAACAAAAATGTGTTAGAAAATACAACTCAAATTAACCATAAATATTTTTTAATAAATGTTTAAAAATTATAGAATTTACTATATATTATTTCTATATAATTTAAGCTACCAGAAACAATGTGGAGTGAAGATTATTATGTCACTCTGCTTCAAGAACATTTCAAAACTTTTGATTCATTAATAACTAACGGGATTCCAATTTTAGGAGAGATGATATGGAATTTTGCTGATTTTAAAACACCACAAGGTAAACTAATTTAAAAAATCTTGTTACTCACTAAACATTAATTTTTTTCTTTATTAGAGTATATAAGACCAGGATTATGTGTAAAAGGATTATTTACCAGAGAACGACAACCAAAGATGGCTGCATACGTGGTCAAAGAACGTTATAATAAATTCAAAAGTAACTCTCCATGGCAGAATCAATCTTTAAATTGTGTGTAAATATTTAATAGAAAGTACGGAATTATAAAGCGAATTCAATAGTAATATTTATATATATATATATACACAGGGTGATTCATGAGGTGTAAAACACTCATTATTTATAAAAACTATTTACTTTTTTCATATTTTTTTTTTAATTTTAAATCTATGCTGTTCTAAAACTATATAAATTTTTAATATTTTTTACCCTTATATTTATTAGGTAAACCACTATCAACTTTTKATTTTTAAATGGCAACCTATATTAAAAATATCATAAAATAATAAGGCTATTTTTTAAATAAATGTTCACGTTTAAATTTTCATTTTTCGTTAATTCGTTGACGAGATATAGTCTCCCAAAGTTGGATGGTTTTGGGGTGGTGTTTGTCATCCTGTGTAAATGTGTTTACCTATTTTGGGGCACAACTTAGGCTTAATTATCGTACTACTCGAATTTATTTGAAAAGTGTATTATGTTTTACGCTAGAGTACAAAAATCCCAATTGCTGCGGCCGCGGTACTGACATGATATAATAACACATTTATACACAAACACCAGCCCAAAACCATCCAACTTTGGGAGACTATATTTCGTCAACGGATTAACGAAAAATGAAAATTTAAACGTGAAAATTCATTAAAAAAAATAGCTTTATTAATTTATGATATTGTTAATATAGGTTTTCATTTAAAAATCAAAAGTTGATAGTGGTTTACCTAACAAATATAAGGGTGAAAAATATTAAAAATGTATACAGTTTTAGAACAGCATAGATTTAAAATTAAAAAAAAAATATGAAAAAAGTAAATAGTTTTTATAAATAATGAGTGTTTTACGCTTCATGCCTCACCCTGTATAAATTATGCTTTATCTAGTATAATAATTTTTTCTAAAATATTTGAAATATTATGTTGTATAATAGTTTATTAGATAATAGATAAGATATAGTTTCATAGCTCGTAGGTAGTTGTATAATGTATACATATAACTAGCTATTATGTATTTAAAACACAAATAAATAGTGATAATATACTTACATAGTTGGATATAGATTTATACATATTATATAGTTTATAACACCTTACATCCTATAACTGTGTTCGTCTGCCTGTCTGTCAGTTAGGTACTTACCTATATCAGCTATGCATAAAAAGTTATGATTGTTGATAGATACAATTGATAAATATATTATTATGCGTAGTAGGTATAGCATAATATAGATGTATCTATAAAGTATAGTTTATTGTGTAATTGACAGTTGTACTAAAATACGTTTAAAACCAGTAATATAATATAGTACGCTCGTAGAGTGAGTTATTTATACTATACTCTACTATAGTGATAATTTGTATTTTGTAATATAATATTATAAAATTTGTTTTTACCTAACCTTCCGTAAGGTAAACGTTTGATACGAAGCAACTATTTCTTCGAACAGGATTCCATTCGAAGAAATTAAATTTTAATAAATTAATTTTAGTATACCTACACAAGGTAATCTATTTAGGTTTCAACACTCTTTATTTATAAAAATATTATTCTTACAAAATATTGGTGTCATACCTATTAAAAAAAACATTTTTGAACATTTTTTGAACTTTTTTTTTTTTTTTGTGTCTGTCATCACGTTTTGGGGCAGTAAAAATGCTTCGATTTTTGACTTCAGTACCTCGTTCGATCAGAAAGTGAATCTAGTTGGTACTTTGGGGGGTCAAAAGTAAAAAATTCTCAATATTTTTATAAAAAATCGATATAAACAAAATAAAAATTAAGGGGAAACGGGAAATTTTACGCACAATCAGTTTTCGACAAAATCGGTTTTGGTTTTTGATGTAACTTTAAAACAAATTACCATAGATACATGACATTTTCACCTAATGTTTATATAAGTATATTCTATTCACCATGCAATTTTCAAAAACTTTCGACTTAAGTTGAACTATTCATAGGCATTTGAAATTTTCGATCATTATTAGTTTTTTAAAATTAATATCGATAAAAATTTATTTGTTAGGCAGAAAAGCTTGAAAAATTAATACAAGGCTCTTAATATATTGTTACAATAGCAGTTGAAAAATAAAATAAATTCATAGTCACAATTATTTTTAAAAGCATTCAAATTTTGAATTTTGACATAATACGTAATAATCACAAAAATTCGCAAATTGTTTTAAGCTAGAAATTCATAAAAAATTTTCTTTTTAAATCTAAGATTTGAAAATTTAATACAAGATTCCTTAAAAGTTTTTCAACCTTTATCACAAACAAAAAGTCCACCGGAAATTCAAATTAAATTTTTATGAGCATTTGAAATTTAAATTTTTACAACAGTGGATTTTCACTTTTAGCAATTTCTTTATTTTGATAAAATTTTGAGCTGTTTACTGACATTTTAATTTTTCAACTTTTTTAGTTTTTTTTTCTATAAATATCGATAAAAATTTATTTGTTCGGTAGAAAAGCTTGAAAATTTAATACAAGGCTTCTAACAGTTCTAACATATTGTAACAATAGCAGTTAAAAAATATTAAAAATACATAGGCACGATTTTTTTTTATAAGCATTTATAGTTCAAATTTTCTAACGTACTAAATACGTAAAAATTACGGCAATGTCCAAATTATCTTAGATTGAAATTCATCAAAAATTTTCTTTTTATATCCAAGATTTGAAATTTAAATAGAAGGCTCCCAAAATATTTTTACATTAACAGTTGAAAAATAAAAGAAATACATAGCCACATTTTCTTTTTACAAGGATTCAAATTTTAATTTTGACAACATATGTAAAAATCATAAAAATTCGCAAATTATTTTAAACTAGAAATTCATAAAAAATTTTCTTTTTAAATCTAAGATTTGAAAATTTTTAATAATCTATAATATATCCTAGACAGATAAACCGTCTTTGCTCAGAATCGTTTTTCGTTACAATGATATAATATCATTGGATTCAAATTTAATTCCATCCATTACAGTAACCCACTTCTAACCTACTGTACAGCAGAGCGACATCCACGACTTACCCGCCTTATTTAATTACGAAATAATCTTAACGAATTTTGCAAACATTTAAACTTCAAACGTTTAATATGAAAATGAAATCTAAATTTCAGACTATGCATTTTCATATTTTCATATTAGCATGAAAAGCATTAAGAAACTTGATTTACATTTTATAGCTTTATTTTGAAAAAAAAAAAATTGTATCAATTTTTTAAAGTAAAAATTCTAATTTATTTTGTTCATACGAGTATATAAAAATAGATCCAAAAATGGTCATTTCTGGAAAATTCTAATTTAAGAAGTCTGTGAAAACTTCAAGTATCTACCGTAAATATTTGCTTATGAACTATTTAAATGTCTCGTTTTTTTCTTTTTCTTCCAAAAACCACCCTTGGAATTTAAGATTAAAACATTTTTATTGCTCCAATACATTATCACATAAACAAAAACAAAAATAACTCTATTTCTGATCTATTTTTTTTTTTTAARTATTAGTAGTATTTAAAATGATTTAGTATTACATATTACTTTAAATAAAAAAGTATGTTCGTTTATATATCCGCGTTATCATAAAAATCATGTGATTTCTATGTGGTTTATTTATTACATAAATATACAGAGTGACCCTAGAATAATGAAACTAGGAATAATATTTTTAGTATTAAAATTTAAAATTCTTTCTACGTTATTATATCATTATTATTATTATTATTATTATTTGTTTCACTGCGTAAGAAACGGAAGTGCTTTAAATTACATTTCATAAACTTGAGTGTGAATGCCAAGGCTTTTATTGGAAATTCACGCCCCTTTAAAGTGTTTTAAAAATATTTTATATGCTATTTAAAATTTTAATACGTAGGCGTGCACTTAATTTTGTCTCTATATTTTTAATTTACCAAACAGAATAAGTTGTTGTTGTTTATTGATAAATTATAGAACAGCTTAAGGAAATGGACATTGGGATTCGTTAGGTTTATATTATAATTGAGTTTTCACTATCCACGTCTCTTTTTGTAATTTCCTATAGAGTACCTGGTTTTTGAAAGATCAAGTTTACGGGTTTGAAAATAAGTCATATTTAATTTTTAATCTTTAATTGAATCACAATTTAATTGTGATATTACATAACAAACATATTATATTTATTAAATGTATCGATAAATATAATCGTAGAACGAATGAATAAGATAGAAACATAATCTATGTTTGTAAAAAAAAATACTCAAAATACGTTTTGCTCTCATTACAACGCGTAGGTAACTATATATGATAACAAAAATGATACGTAGAAAAGGTTTGTTTTTGAAATAATTCACACCTAAATATTTACGGCATTTTTTTCTTTTACGGGCAATTATAAAAAACCACAACAAGTGATTGAGTTATAAAATGTCACGCCCTGTATAGGTGTGGTGATCAAAGTACTTAATTAGTAAACATGGTAAATGTCCGGTATCGCAGACGGTTGAAAAGGTGACCGTTTCGAAAAAAAAGAACGCTGACTGTCCGCACGGTTCAAGTACTATTAATTAGGCGTAGACCGCTATCGCCGGTGTTGCGATTGGCGAGAGCGCGTGACGCTGCCGTCACCTTCTCTTCATTCTCCTCCAGCTACTCCTTCTCCTCGTCATAATCATAATTACGCTTTAAACACCTCCACACGTTTGTGTTCTTGGTGCAGTGCATGGGCGCAGTATGTATTCGAACAGCGATAATAATAATAATTAGATGTTAGTATAATAATAACAACCAAACWCGCGGCAAAGTCCATTCGATTGTGTCTCCGCCGACTTGGTTCGCGTTTTTCGATAGATTATGATTTCTAAGAGGAAAAAACATAAAAACGTTCTAGCGCATCACGAGCACGTGTGGTGCTTATTGCTCGTCAGTGGTGGGAGTGTTTGCGACGGCGACAGCGACGAAGCCTCCGATAAGATTAAAACAAAATGCACGCGTCGGAGGCGGAGGCGACGGCAACGAGGCAAGTCGTTGTCTAACGTCTTCGTCATAGCTTGCACGACGTTCGCGAATTCCACTGTCTCATGTCGACCGACGGGCACGTGGAACAGCAACTGAAATTGCAGCACCATGGCCGGCTGGAGGAGCTGCAGCAAGAACCGCGCCGGCCTCCACCGCGATACAGTATAGACCCCGCGTGGACATACCGCGCGCTCACCTTACTTGACGTGTTCCTCCATGTGTTCGTCGTATCCACCTTTGTCATAGGGATATGGCGCGCCTCGTACCAGCTGTTCGTACTGTACCACAAAGAGATGAACCCTTGGTTGGCCACTAGTGCATCCGTTGCCGTACAATTGGTTTGTATAATATTACTGACTCGTAAAATTGTATTTTTATCGTCGAGCATTATATCAACAGTGCTGTAGTCTTGTAGAACCTAAGAGGGTCACTGCAGTGTGACATGACTTTTGCAAGTTAATAGAAAATCTCAGAGTTCTGACTGCTATACTATTTGACAGCGTTAAATATTTCCCTTTTTACAAATATATATCTAAATATTACGTACTTTAGTCGCCTAATTAACGATCTACAATAGAAACATAGTAAGTATCACCGGTTATATATATTTTGGTTTAACACCATATACATATATCATGATACCAATATTACCTATTATATTATAATAGATTTCATTTAGTTATACGCTTTTATATAAACAAAACAGTGTTTTGTTATTATTTTTACACAGGTAGTTAAATTAGTCTTGTTCACAGTTGGCTTGTTTTTATAGTAGTATTCAATGTAGCTAGTATTATGGCTAAATAGCTGATGCTTAAACATTTGAACACGGTTTCTACCTAAGAAGTACTGCTTACATATATACCTAGCACTTTCGACGGTACTTGGCTGAATCTACGTGTATTAACTCTCAAAAATATCAAAGTAATTCATATGATATATTTCACTATTGAATAAATTATACTTTTTGATTTGAAAATAAACCACCGTTCTAAATAATTACATCGGACATTTTGCTATATGGTTTAATATTTTTGATAAAAATAGTCTACTCATTAGTAAAATTATTTATTATTTACCAAATTCAACCAATAATATATTTACTTGATTACTATTTTCTATTGATTCTCGAATTAAGAAGTTTATCATACAATGTGCAGTATAATGGCTATTGGCTACATATATATTATTTAAGCTAATATATTAAAGAACCATTTATACATATGAATACATAAGTAGGTGKTAAACATTTTTGTTTTTAATGTTTTAATAATATTTTTTTTTCTAGTTGCTATCAATATTGAGTGATCCCTTAGTAAAGTATTTCAAAAGAAGAAACCATTCAAAAATTGCATTTTGGGTGATTTCTAGAATATATATATACGCAAGATTCGTGATTGGCATGATTATGTATGTATACCAGGAGTGGTTGCTTGAGGTAACATTAAATCATGTACATATAGCTGTAAAACCTAGCATTGTTCTTACAATTGCCATTGGTATATTATGCTCAGTTCGCATGTTGGCCACAATCATGGGGCCACCTACCTGTGGCCTCGAATTTGATCCCAAACCCGAAGAAATATTTCAATTTGAAAGAATGTTTTGGCCCGAGGTAAGATATCTTTATATTTAATATTTTAATTTATAATCCTAGGAGTTATTACTATTACGTAATATGTGTAATGCTATCATAACATGTTTTCTATAAGTTTTATATTAGTTTTTTTCTCTCCTCATTTAAAATAAAATTGTTAAAAAATAATAATAGTAGAATAATCCCTATAAATATTAGATTGGTTAAATAAACCGTTATTTTTCTTATCAAAAAACAAATATAAACATAATAATAATTTAAGAGTGGTATTAGTAAATATAATACCTATTTTTTTGGTGTCAAAAGTTTAGGCAACATAAAAACTTGCAGATTTGAGCAAGTCTTCATTCTACAGTGAAGGGATTTGATTAAAGAATATTATCACATTAATGATATATGACCTTTGACATTAAAAAAATATAATACTTGAATAAAACTATAAGTACCTATATTGTACCAATTTAATATATCTGTAGATATTATACCTACTATGAGTAATTTAAACATCATATTTCATATTATTTGTTTATTAATGATTATTGCATTTAAGTATATCATAATGCAATTTTAATTCTTGGGTCCACTTTATTTTTATGCATTTCTAGATAATATAACATAATTACTTTGAGAAATTATGATGTTTTATTGTATAAACAGTCATCAATTTTTATATTTATTTTATTAATTGTTAATAATTGCCTATACTAATTATAATTTTGTAATTCTGTATTGAAGTAATATGATATTAATATTATTATAGCTACTCTATTTCTTCTTTATCAGATAATTATTAAAGCAATTAAACATCAAATAAATAAATATGTTATAGTTCTTTAAATATTATGTAGGTTATGAGAAGATTAAAAAAAAAATTAGGAATACTTATTCATACCTATAACCTACGCATTATATGTATGTTCGAACAAACATTCATTTATTATTATTTATACAAATTCTCAAAATAAATTCGCTTTTATTTTGAAGAATACGTCGTGCATAATTATATAAACTTATTTAAGTAATAATTTATTTATTAACTACATTAATACCTATCACCTATGTAATCATACAAAATCTATTCACTAAATCATTTTTTTCATGATTTTTAAATTGTTTTATCAGATACGAAAAATTTGCATTACCTAAATGAATGCTTTTTGATGAAATGATCATTGAAATATAATATTGTATACATACATTTTTTCATTAAGTTATCCACATCTTCGTATAATATGTAAAATATTTGTCACATATTTTAAAACGTAATTTTTAATTTTTTATCCACTTTATAGCATAACAATTAACTATAATCTATTAGTAAATGAGTTATGGAGACGGCAGAAACGTTTTTTTTTTGAAATTCTGACTGTATATGTGTGATAGATGTAATTGTTAAAAAATGTTAATTCGAAACACACGAACTATAAAATTACGTTAAAATTCCTGTAATTTAGAGTAACAAACATCAAATTCTAATAATATTAAATTTTAAATAATAAATTGAAAAATAATATATTGTTAGTGAGACTGTACATTACATTGCACTTACATTGCACTATGAAAGTACACTAAAAAAAAGTGGGAAAAATGTAACTGTAGAATTGAGGTTTACAATTTTTCAAAAATCGTATCATGTTTATAAGATTCTGATGAAAGAATAACGTATATATTTTTTTAAATTTAAATTTAAAAAAAATGATTTTTTCAAAAATTAATTTGCATAATATACCCGTTTTCCGTTACTTTTGATCCACTATTCCTGTATACAAATGTATAACTTAATTTGCTACAAAAAAAACCCCTTCCAATGTTAAATATCTGTAATAGTTTGTACTGGAAGTTTAAAAAAAAAAAATTAAATATTGACCATTTTTTATGGTACAAATCGTATCTTTGGACAAAACAAAAGTAGACATTATTGTTTAAACTTAAAATTTCCTAATACATATGTATCCGAAAAAAATTCACAATAATAACAATAATAAAGGATTCTAAACTATTAACTATATTTTGAAACAAATAAAAAAATTGCAGTTCATCGTATGTATAGCGCTCCAATAACACTGCTTGCAGTTAACGCGCTCCCAATGCTCTGTACTTCAATCTAATTGCAGATATAACTAAAATCGTTATTTTTATTTTAAATATTCAAATACCCTTTATTAAAATTTCTCTAAGACCAAGAGACTGTCTCCCAGTATCATTCAATAATAACTTCTTTCTCATTATACCGATAGTAAAATACCTAGGACTGACATTTGACAGACATCTTACACCTATCATGAGCTCAACACCTTAAAAACATAAGAAAAACAGTCAACTCTAGACTCTATTTGCTCTACCCATTTCTAATACAACAATTAGTAATAAACTATACTCAAATACAAATCCATTATCAGATCAGTTTGGTCCTATACTCCTATGGCATTCAAATATAGGTCACTGTCCAGTGATGGCTTACACAAGGTATTAATACTGACTACTGTGAGTCTGCCTTATTTACGAGAAGCCTTTTTTAGAAACTTCAATCAACAATGTATTACAAAGTCACTCTCTGTGCCTTGCTATGTGTATAATATATTACTATATTATTTACCTTTTTGGTTATTTATATAACATTTTGATATTAATACATAAGTCATAACAAATATTTAAGCAAAATTTAGAAATTAATTACAAACATTAGGTATTATTAATTAATTGTAATATTTTTATTTGTAACATTAAAATGTATATACAATATACAAATTTAAATAATTTTCAGAAAGAATTATAAATATTTATTATTTTATTTTTATACCTATATTTATTTATTATTAACCCTTTGTCGACAGTGCTCGAATTGAGGTCTCCCTCGGATGAGGCAACTTTCATCCTTCATAGATTTCTTTGTTCCCTTCATTTATTTAAGCGAGTAACGCTAAAAATGCACCCCCTTGGAGGATGTCTACTTACAATAAAGTATTTGGATTTTGTTTTCATTCATTTTTAACAAAGTAATGGTTATTTTTTCCTGTGAAACGGTTATCGTCAGAGACAGTTGATATTACGGTACCTACTCGCAACTCACTACCTACTTACCAATAATATTATAGCTACATTCATAGTTTTTGACTCGTCAAACATATTTCATTTTCATAATTTTATCATAATAAAAATTAACTAATACTATATTTACTTAATGGATTATCGTTGGTGACGATCTACGATGTTACTATGTATACCTGTAAGTTATAAGACACTATAATAATATCATTTGGTTTTCATAATTTTATTAAACAACATATCGTGGAACCAATTTCGGATTCACGGCCAATGCACTAAATTTCTAAATAGTATAATGTTGTTGGGTTCATTTTTTAATTTATTACATGTATAGGGGGTCTCCTGTAAGTGAATTCACAATATATCTGCAATGAAATGGTGATTTCTGATTATTGAAATCAGCATCTGTCCTTAATATTTATTCAAATTCGAGCACTGTTCGTCAACCGATGGTATTTTTGAGTATCTGCTCAGCACAAAAAATGTATATTAAATTATATGGTATATTTATCTTTATTTGGATCCGTGGATACACTTTAAACAGGTTAAATCCTCATAAATATATGTACGATAATATATATTAAATTATAATACTAAGATAGTAACATAATTACCTATTTTTATTAATTAGAATAACTTATAATAAGATGTTGTAATACGCATAAATATAAATTTGATAGATCCAATTGACATAAGTTGTTAACCCTTACAAAATAATATAAAACTAAACAAATTCAAGATTACATAAGAATATGAATAAACTTCGATTAAATTATATATTTCATAAAAAGCTTCACAATTTACACAATTTAATTCAAACCTTAATTATAACGTCACATTATTAAAGTTTTTGTTTAGTACATACATTTTATATTTTATTTCAAGGTTAATTATTTAAATTATTTAAAATTGTAGAAAATAATTATTCACAATATTTTTTAGAAATACACTTTTAATTCAAAAAACGACAGAAGATATAGAAAAAAAGTGCTTCGATTGGAAATATTTTTCATATTTTAGTACTTTATATTCGTCAAAATGATCGAAATGAGACCTATCAACCAATCCTCTTGTAATAATAGTATGACGTATTCTATATTTTATACCAAAGTAATTTTAATTTTGTTTATAAGTGTAAAGGAACGTGGTTATTGTTAATTTAACTACATTAGACTTTTGTATTGGGTAGGTATGCATTTTATATGAATATGTTTAAAAGGTGTGTACAAATAAACATGAAAATTATTGCTTTTAGTAGTATTAAATAGTATGTACAAAATGTACACTATTATATTGTTATGTGTAACATAGTTATAAGGTTTTAATATAAATAGAAAATAATATATCAATTTAATAATTTATCAAAATCAGATTTCTTTTATAATTCAAAATTGTTTACATTTTTTAACTATCTATCCAATATTAATTCAATTATGATTTTAATTATTTTATTTTTTTAATAATTAATATATTAATAATAAGTCATAATAAGGCTGTTTCATACATAAAGAAAACATCGATTAAAATTTTTAAAAACAATTTAATTTAAAAAAGCGGGTAAGTCGTAGATAACGCTTTGCTGTACAGTAGATTACTGTAATGGATGGAATTAAATTTGAATGCAATGATAGGTATCATTGTATACGAAAAACGATTCTGAACGGAGATAATTTGTCAGTCTAGGATATATTATATTTAAATATTGTCATATATTCTATTTTGAAACAAATATTTTATTTTTAAATTAAGACGCATTTTGCATAAGGCATGGTTAATCAATTTTTCCAAAAACATTGCATGTAGTTATCATAATTC